TTCAACCGGATCCGGCCATCCGACGGCGGATCTGGCTCGGGGTTTAACTCGCGGCCGCACTGCGCGTTAATGACATTAGTCCGCGCGACCCGCGCGCGTATAGCTACCGGGGGATCCCCGCGAGGGGCTCGGAAAGCTAGCGCCGTTACACAGGCAAGGATTTCAAAGATCTGAAACCTGGGGGTGGGGCTTACAAGCGGAGATCTAAAGAGCTGTGGTGAGCAAAGATCCACGTTGTCCTGACTGCAGCATTAAACTGAGGTTCACAATTCATGGGCTGGGATATTTGCTGGCACCAATCGGGTAGGAGGGAACATAAGAAAGAGATTGCTTTCTCCATTCTGCCAGCGTTACGGAGAAATTTTTGAGCAGCACTTGTGCGTGTTTTAGAGCACCCTGTCCAGCAATTGTGCATGTTTCAAAGCTAATGGTGTCAGAGATCTACATCAGCTGTTCCCATTGCACAGCTTTCATTGTAGTATTTCAAGAAGTCCAGCTCATGAGTCCAACTCCTGCCGGCTCTTGTGAAAGTAGGTGGACACATGAAGCCTGGTATTAGAGGCAGGGAGAAAATTGCTGAGGCTGCAGCATATTGTTCTCTTGCTTCTGCAGGAAACTTGCAGCGGCCTGCCACCGTCCGCAATCTCCAGAAGCACAAAACCCTCGGAAAGCGCAAGCGCCTCGCCTCCAACTCACAGGTCTGCGAGTCCATGTCGGAGCTGCTGGGAAAAGCGATCACTCCGGCTGTCCTGAGGGACGCCATGCGGGGGGACACGTTCCGGAAGCTTCGGCAGGAGGCGGGTCAGGCGGCACTGGACGAAGTGGGGGCCAAGCTTACGAGGGCGCTCGCGCTGGCGGGGCTTGAGTTGGGCGATGGCAACCTGAAGATGTACAGGTTAGCCAGCGCATTCTCTCGTTGCTTGTTTCCCCCTCAGTTCAAACTGGTCACAGGGCAAGTGACGCTGGAATCCTGGAAAGGTGAGGGGAACACTGTGCGGTCTGTCATTGCAAAGCAAATCCTTCCAAGAGGAACCTTTTGCGATGCATTTGTGTTCAGCAGGTCTGTGAGGTTCTGAATTGAGAGGCTATGTGCATGCTGACCAGTCGGATTGAGCCTCTGACTAACCTAGATCAGCAGCAGACTTTCTTCTCTTGTGGTTGAATCTGGTCAGTGTCAGGTCAGGTCAACCGCAGATTAGCGCAAATGTTGTTTGCGGTTTTGTCAGAAGGTCACAGTAGAGGAGAAGTAGGGTAGCTGACATGCTCTGATCTGATCTGCATTGCTGACGCTGAGGCGCCTAACCTTATGAAAGGGGGGGGTTCCACTGTATCGTGGTCAGGCGAGCTTGTTTCTACTTACGTGAGGCACATGTCTTCTTAGGTCTTGAATTCGCACTGTTGAGCAACTACACTGTACACCTCTGTAGGGCGCTGTACAACTCTGTCAAGGGAGCCACATGTGACGCCGGGTACAAGGCGTCCCATCTGCCGAACCCCCATCAAGTGAATCTTGAAAGACAGGATCTCATCTCCAAGGTATGTGCTGTGTCGTTCGGTCCGCAGAATCAATCTTCTTCGTCCCCATATGCCTTCAGAAACCTTGTCTGGAAGATGGGAAGTGTATGCTCAAACATGGAAACTGTTACACGGCAAGAAGAATATGTGATCTATTCCAATTCGGCATTTGCGGACGCTTCCGCTGCAGGGATCATGTTCCAGACATCCCTACCCTTTATGCATGCACACTGCCGGGTGGTCATGCTTTGAAAGATGAGATATTGCGCCCTGCAGGTTCCCACACTGCTGGGGGAAGTGGACTCCTTCACTGCACATCGTCTTGTCTATGACAAGGAGAAGAAGCAGACGGTGCGCCAGGATACGAAGGAGAACGTTTGGATCAGGACCAATCAGGCCTTGTCCACTCTCGTCCGTTTTTACGGGATCACGCCTGAAAGTGAGTTCAAACAGCTTGTCTCTTGTGAGCTCATCTCCAATCTCATCTGATAACTTGGTGATGGCAGGATACTAAATTTTCATGTGTTGTCTTTTGCCCGACTCCTTTTGGACAGTGCCCACGTGCTTGTGAAGCGTTCTTTGTAGCTTTCTTAATGAGAGGCCAGAGGCTTCGTTTTGACTGAATCATTCCTAAAGCTGGTTCTCAGGTCTTTCTGCTCAGCGTTTGAAGCATGCCAGAAATATGCGCAGCTTCCTCCTCCTTGCAAGCTCATTCCACTGATCTACGCTACTTTCAAAAATTTGCAGGCTTGAAGGACAAGAAATTGCAGCCCTGCTTGAAAGTGGACGAGTGCAAGTGGGTGTCCGAGAAGAACCTGGAGCGTTTCACGCTTACCATGCTGAACGGGGGCTTGGACGAGGACATGCAGGCATGGTGGTCTGTGCAGTCCGAGAAGGACATCTGGACCCTGGGGGCCTACGAGGTAAGGGGACTGCTTCTGCTGCTTGTCGGCCACCGATGTATTTGCTGGCCTCACCACCCTTCTGAGTTTTGTTCTTCCTCGACGGGTATTCGCTTGTTGGTATTCGCTTGTTGATAGCTCGTGCATTCCGGAACAGTTTGAGTTAAGTATTTGCTGAACTGGAGTTGATTCGCCTAGGCAGTGTGGCGGTCTTTCCCAGTGCCTGCAACTAGCAGCTGGGCATTTGCTTTTGGATCTATCTCATTGATTCAATATCCCCCCTGTCAGCCACTGCTTAGCGTCAAAGAAGATCCTCTGGTAGACAAGCTGTCATAACGTGGACGCCTGACGTCAGCAATTGATTTATGCAGGGCCGGACTATTCTCTTTGTACTGAACATGGATACTTTATGCACTTTCAGGTGGACAAGGAGAACCACGACACGCTGAAGTGGAACATGTCCTTCTCGGACTTGTCCACGACGATCGAGCGCCACAACAGCGGAAGGAAGCTCGTGGTGGAGGGCGTCGGTGAGTTCGAAGTGGAGTGGCACCTCGCGGGGGACCTGAAAACACTAAAAGCGCTGTACGGTACGAGCTCGGGCGCGAACGCGAAGTTCGCGTGCATCTACTGCCTCCAGCAGCGGAAGAACGGGTCTTGGGGGAGAGCGTGTGCGTGTCCCCAAGGCGAACCGCCGGATCGAGACAGTCAGGAGAACGTGGCGAAGCAAGGGGGCGTAGGGGGGGGCGAATGGGATCCGATTCTGCCGATCCCGCTCACGCGGGTCCACATGTGCACAATGCACGCCGAGAACCGGATCATCGAGAAGCTCGTCCACCTCCCTGTGTCGCATGTCTGGAACGCGAGCGGGGATTCGCCCGGGCGCGGGGGCCGCGTTTGAGGGCCATGGAGAAGGTGTTGAGCGAGGCGGGGATCATGGGGGGGAACGCGAAGATAGAGTGGGACGAGAAGAAAAAACGCCGAGTCAAGCACAGCTTCAAGGACCGGACAGCCCGGTTCTTCACCAGCAAATTCGATGCCGATGGCAGGCAGGTCGGTGAGTTGTGGAAGAAGCTGATGGATGCTGAGAACGATACGGACCGGGTCAGGCGGAAGCGGAAGGAAGCGGTGTGGGAGGCGTACGAGGCTCTGGCCCCGTATCTTCGGGATCAGAAGTATAGCGCCGCCACAGGGAGCGATCCAGCCAAGTATAAACAAGTCGTACACGCGTTCCTTAAGGCGTTCGTGGCGGCCTACGGGGAGACTCACGTGACACACTACATGGTGGGTTTGTACATTCTAAACCTTTGCCTATCGCTCTGGCTTAGGACTGCCATTCATCTTGGAGATTAGACTCGACCACATCGGCTGTTCCGGATGCGACTGTATAGGGTTCCGGTCTTTGCGAACAGTATCTTGGGCTTTATCCCAGGCAGGGCAGGCAGTTCGGCCAGGATTTAGGTTGCCACTGGAGGGAGTCGGTAGAAGCGCAAAAACTTTGCCTGCCGCTGGCCCAAGCTGTTGCGCCGAGTATGGTTCACGACTGTGAACCACGGATTGTCCTTAATTTGAATGTAGGAAGCACTGCCGTAAGTTGCACGTCCTGGATCTGCCATCAATGCCATCCCTGATTATTCTCTTATGTTTTGCAGCACATCATACACGCGCACGGGGACTACTTCATCCAGAAGTACGGAAGTCTTGCTCGCTGGAACACCCAGGTGGGTTCCCTGGATCCCGTGTTGCAGCCGTTGGTGCCTGGCGCCTCTTCTGAGTTCATTGCACGTCCGTTGAAGTTGTCACTGCTCTTTATACTGTGACGTCTGCGTTGAAGTCTATTCGTGTATGCTATCTGATACAGCAGCACCACCCCGCTGCCGTTCACTGTGCCGCGGAACG